GCCGGGGGGGGCCGTGCCGCGCGCGCGGGGCGGTGCGCGGGGCGGGCGCCGACGTCAGGGCGCCGCGCGCATATTGATGCGGGGGCCCGGCCGCGCTCGCCAAGGAGCAGAAGGAAGCAAGATGGCGGCGCAGTAGGAGCGGGGAGCGCGGCGCCCGGGCTGTGCGTGCTGGATGTCGGCGAGGCTGAGGGACGCGGCTGAGGTCAGAGCGGGCTTCCCCGCGTCGGCCGCCTTCTCCGGCGCGCACCCCCGCGAGGTGTCGCGGGGACCGCGCCGCGCGGCGCCGCCGGGGATGGGCGAGGAGGGGGCGCCGCCGCGGGTCCCTCAACATGGCTGACTCACAGGGCCCCCTCCCCGCGGGGCCGGACCCGGGCTTCGCCTCGCCGCCCCTCCCCGCGCCTTTGTCTGCGCACGGGGACGGCGGCCGGAGGCGTCCCGGCTTTGTGCCGCTCTCTGGTCCCCGGCGGACACAAAGGCGGGCGCAGCCCCGGGGAGAGGGGAGAGAGGCGCGGGTCGTGCGGAGCTTGGCGGGGGCGAGGCGGCGGGAAGCGGAGCGCGGTCCCGGCGGTCTCGGGAGGGAGAAGTGCGGGCTCGGCGGGGGACTCGTGTGGGGCCTTTTTTCCGTGCAGTGATCCAACACGCGCGTTTTGTCCGCGTTGCTGAACCCCGCCGTCGGGGCCACTTGCACGATGTGGCCACGGGATGAAAAGGAGAAATCACTTTCCCGAGCGTGTTCCCCTAAGATAACGCTGGCGGCGAGGTCGGGCTTGTTCCCCGCCAGATGACAGACAAGAGCAACAACCTCCCCACGCCTGAGTCGGACGCGGCGGTGTGTGCTTGTGCTCGCTCGCATCGTGGCGTTGATCGGCGTTAAATCACCCCTTAGAACACCGGCAGCCCCGAGTTAAAAGGAGGCTTTTCGGCTCGCGGTTTGAATCTCGGAAATTCGGCAGACCCTTTTCTGCTAAGTAATTTTCCTTTTCGGAGTGAGGTGAAGGGAGAAGTGATGTGCTCTAGCGTGCTTTTATCGCAGCCGAAAATCTCATCACAAGATTTGTTTTCCATGATGAGCGGCATGCCAATGTGCGGGCTTTGAGCAGTGATCAGAAGCTCTGAATATCAGTTCGGCATCGTTTTCTTTTTTGTTTCTTCTTTTCGCTGTGAAGTTTAAGAGTTTCAGAGATGAGGAGATACTGTCCCTAGTGAAAGCAGGTCAGTGGGTGTTGTTTGTCGGCTAATGAGGCCATTCTATTCGCATGTTAATGGCAGGTTGACTTACTGCAGCAGGGGGTGAGTGCAGTCACACGTACATTCACTCGCGTATCTGCATGTGTATTCCACTACGGCACTTTCTCTGGAGGTTGTAAAGTGCAAAACAGGACGTGGTTGCCGAAGATACTCAACAGAGAGATGTCAATGGTCTTAGTCGTGTATAAACTTATGTTTAATAGTCATGCATAAACTGGAGTTGTAGAGGGATCTGACTGCTGCTGTTAAGACTCTGAAAGAATGTACCCATTTTGGATTTTATCCCGCAGAAGAAAAAGCAGCTTGGAACCAATGAAGATAAATCACTGTTGGGCAGTATTTTGTCTCTTTTTCTCACGGAAAGTGTAGTATGAATCCTGCCTGTGAAGTCAGAAAACATTTAAGATGAGCAACCAGGGTGTAGGGAGGAGGAAAAAAAGAGAGGGCAAAGATGTGGAAAATAAGAGTGCTTTGGTGGTGGGGCTAAACTGTTGTTCACGTGAAATGAAGAACTCAAGTCATCTTTCAGTGGAAATAGTTCCTCTTGGGAAGGGACTTAAAAAAAAACCCTCAGTGAATGCATCCAGGGAACCTCAGAAAGTGGTTTTCTATTGCCCATTTCAAAACTAATTCCTAACAAATCTTCAAAAGAAGAAAAGGTTGAATGAGAGACACTGAGGCTCCCAAATTTTCCGAACTATCACTCTTTGTAGTAAGGCTTTTAACGAGGACTTTGGCATTGTGCTGATTCCTGGCTTTTAGCCAGGAAAACTGGTATTGTTTTGATATAGTGTGCGTGGTCCTAGACTTTGGCATGTCAACATTGTTTAAAGAACAAGAAACGTGTTCTTGCTGAGGAGTTATGACGGACAGATTTCCAAGGTCTCTTGTTGGCACCAGTGCTGCACTGGGTAACAGAAACAGGAGGTTGTAAATGTTTTGGCTTCTGCATGCAGAATCGGGAGACCCTGTAGCTGCTGCTGGAACGGGGATTTCAGCTGCCAGAGTTGGATGGGACTGTTCCTTCTTGCCCCAGGCACTTCAGATGCTGCTGGGACTCTGTCTTCCATACAGTTCCTTTAAATATTAGCAACAGCCAGACAGCGCTAAAAAAAAGAAAAGAAAAAAAGACCAACCAAAAACCATCTCATCAGTTTTTTGAACAAGTCTGCTGCTCAGATGTTGAAAAATGTGAAGTTTGGGCTGGATTAATGCTACCGACCCTGGTCAGGATTACAGGGAATGCTTCACTTCTAAGTTACTTGCATGGACAGTTTTTTTCAGTGTGCCAAAGCAGTGACTTTAAATCCCTTGCTCCATTTAAGTCTGAGGGGGAGATGTTTTGTGCTTCTACAGGAACCAAATAAGGTTCTTTTTAAAAAGCTGATAATTTTTCAAGGTGGAATTCCAGAAGAGCTGTCAAATTTGGCTTGTCACAGTGAGTGACCCCTCTACCTCTCTCACTGGGCTGCTGCACAGCAGCACTAGGCATGGTAGCAGCATCTGTAAGCCAGCTTCACTACTGGAGCCTGAAAGTGGTAGAACAAAGTTGCCAAGTTTCAAGTAGAGTTGGTGGTTATATTGGAAACTGTGCTGGAGAACACAACCACAAATGATTTTGCCAAATAATATACAGTATTTATTTAGTCCAGCTCTCTGATTGCTGTTAAGGCAGTCAGCCAGCAGCAGTAAGTGTTGTGACATCATTTTGAAAGGAAATGTGCTGGTTCTGAAATGGAGTGGGATGTACTATGATTCATTATTACAAAAAAAAAAAGAAAGCTGTAGTCTGAACAGAGATAAAGCATATGACTGCATCATGGCTGAAAGCCAAAAAGAGAATTATATGAATCAATCACACTTGAAGCATTATTCCCAACCCTTACTCCATAAGGCAGTGAATACCATCTTACTCATTTAATGATATTCTGCAGCAAAAATATGCTTCTGAGCACTGAACAAGTAACTAGTAACAAGTTGCCATAGTTCTGGTTGTTAGACTTTCAGATCATCACTGCTTGCATGTTCAATTTGCATAGCTTGTCCCAATATCCTAGATAATAAAACCTTACAAATGGAAAGCACCATGAGTAATCACCCTCTCAGTCACTCGTTGAAAAGAAGTCACTTCTGCCTTCCCTTAGGATAGATAAGTCTGTTTAAAAAACAAATTATATATGGAAAAATCACCCATTTTGTCAAGGAATTGCTCTGTGGGTGGACACAGTGGTGGTGGGGTTAAGGAATAAAATTCTGAACCTCCAGCATCAGCTGGACTAATCGCAAGGACAGCTGATGACTGACCCAAAAAGGTTGTTTTGATTAAAATATTGAGAATGTGCCTTGTATTACCTAGCAGGGAGTAACAGAAGGAAGGTAGAGAAAAACAAGGTTTGAGAAATAGAACAGCTAACTAATTTCACCCACATATCTCACACTGTTCTTGAAATAAAGAAAAAAATATGCTCTAACTTATAGGAGGATCTGAAAGAGTGTTCTACTAGTTTTTCATAGTAAAGGATTTTAAATCTGAGGTCAATTTAAAGAAAGTTGCCATGCATGAGAAAAAACATTAACGAATAAAAGCAATAAAGATCTAAATTCCTGTCTGTCTTTTCAAGTAGGCTTGTTCATCTCTGTCAAACATCTTCCAGAACTCTGAATCATCTTAGGAACCTGAACAAAATTCAAGCTGTCCTTAAAAAGCAAAGTTTTCTGTGGAGGTGTGGATTCCAAGTTGGAGTGCTATTGCCCTGTAACATAGATACGGCAAGAAATCCCAGTAGGATTATTCTGACAGATAAATAAAGGCTTCCAGTATTTGACATAATTCCAGGTGTGTGTGCTTTTCCTCTTGCTAAAAAAAAAAATAAAAAAAAATAAAGGAGGCATTTCTATTGCAGTGTGGAAAGGAATAGGCTCGTTCTATGCTCAAGTTAAGCAAGAAGGGATAATTCAGCATTTTAACCCTAATCGAGTACAGAGCTTTGTTAAACCACAACAGACAGTTTCAAAGAAGTAGCAGAGAAGTGAGCAGGTGAGTGTTTAGATAGCTAAGATAACCAGGAGTAGCTCAATAACCAAATACCCCTTCAAGTGTCTTCCCCAGGTACAGGGCAATAGCCCCCGCACTCTCTGAGCAATTACTGTGGTGCAATTTAGACAACTTGAAATAACCTTCACATGTTCTACAGCGTTACCTCTAACCTCAAATATATTCCACGTGGTTTCCCAGCATATGAATATTGGTTTCACCAGGTGTGTGCATGGTGAAGGAGAAGTTTCTAGGTTTAAGCTGAATTGTTTGCAGATGTATAAAGAATGACTTTTTTATGTGAGCTACCTTGTCCTTAAACTTACATTTCAATGACTAAAGTTTAACCAACTTCTCTGCCTAATTTCCTTTCTAATAATGCATAAGCAGTCCAAGTTTGTCTTCCAATGTCCTGGCGTGAGCTACTTTAAGTCACGTCGTGTTGGGAAAGGATTTGGCTCCATTGCAGTAAAGCCCCGGCTTACCAAGTGGGTAGACGTTTAGGTCAGGACGATGACTCTCCATGTGGTTGCGCGCACGTGGTTAGAGTGTTTACAAACAGTGTCCCAGCATCCTCGGCAGCTGCCTTGACGCAGCCAGTGAGGACAGAGTTCTAGGAATGTCCCTGGTCCTCACAAGCGGCGGAGGAGGGGAAAAGAAATAAAAAAATGCACAGTTTTAAGAACCCGTATCGCAGTTTGGTTTTTGGCTGAGCTTTCTGCATCTGTGTTGCATTCTGGATCTCTGGGTCCTTTGTCGGATGCCGTTGTTTTTTCCCTCAGCACTCGAGCGCAATCTGGGCTGTGTTGACGTGTTTGTCTGGAACGGACTGACCTGAACTATGAGATGGGGGTTAAGGGAATTGTTGCAAAGGTTTCAAATTATTTTTATGCCCTTCCTTCCCTTTTAAAAAATTTATA